TGCCGGGGGCGGCACACTCCAGCGCCAGCCAGAGAGCTAGCGCCGCTTGAGGCCAGCCGGGGACGAGGCGCTTTACACGAGGGTTCCCTTCTAGTTGCACAGTGGATAGTATTAGCCTTCTTTTTGGGAAATAAAGAAAATCCAGCTTAGCAAGTTAGGGCCTTCATCGTATTAGAGAATCTGTGTATGGCCTCGCAGTTTGCAGAGTGCTTCACCTTCTAACGAAGCCTGGAACGCCATTTCAGACTGAATAAAACCATAGATGCGATGGATACCTATGCAACAACCCCGCACATTCTGCACATGTATCCTGGAACTTAAAGTTAAAAATAAATAAATTAATTAATTAATTAAATAAATAAAAGTCACAGAGGCCCTGTAGGCCCAGATGCGGAGGTTTGAGAAGTGATTTGCCCAAATGCATACAGCTGAGAAGCGGCAAAGGACGGACCCAACCCAGGCCCTTTAGAATCAAAACTTACTGCTCCTTCTCTTGGGGAAGGCTCTCCCTTACCTTTTCATCCCACTTTGTGTGGATGTGTGTCCGGGCATTGGATCAGGGCGCTGGGCCAGGGGAAGAACAATATATAGCCTACGTTTCCTGGGCAGCCGTGGTGTTATAGGGCCCAGAGAAACTTTGGAGGCAGGAGGAGCTGTACTCACATTCTGGCTCCGTCCGTTTACCAGCTGTGTGACCTTGGCAACTGAGGGCCTCAGTTTCCTCATCTGTTAAACAGCTAGACGCCTAACCGTGAAATGCTATTCAGAAATAAATTCTTGCTGTGGACCAGGTGCAGTGGCTTACCCCTGTAATCCCAATACTTTGGGAGGCCAAGGCGGGTGGATCACCTGAGGTCAGGAGTTCAAGACCAGCCTGGCCACCATGGCGAAACCCTCTATCTACTAAAAATACAAAAATTAGTCGGGCGTGGTGGCGCATGCCTGCAGTCCCAGCTACTCAAGAGGCTGAGTCAGGAGAATTGCTTTAACCTCAGAGGTGAAGGTTGCAGTGAGCCGAGATTGTGCAGCCTGGGTGACAGAGTGAGACTCCGTCAGAAAAAAAAAAAAAAAAGGAGAAGAGGGGAGTAGAGGGGACAGGACTGGAGAGGAGAGGGAAATTCTTATTGTAAGAGTTGAACAAAGAGGCAATTTAGTATATCCCTTACCTTAAGGAATTAAGCAATGGGCATCAATCTAGGAATGGAAAAGCTGACAGAAATGGTTGCCAGATTCCAAATGACTAGCTGGAGGCTTCCTGTTCCTCCCCTTCTCCTCTATCACAAATACGTTTTTAGCCAAGGTGTTCCCCTCTTTCGTGTTCCTTCACACTCTCACAAGAGTATGTGTTGGACCCTGGATCCCAGCCTGCCTCCTGGAGGCATTTCTGCGGTCTTCTCGTACCTGTGAGAATCTCAGCAGTCTTTCAGTGCCTGCAATGGTGAGCAGAGGGACAGGCAACGGGAAAAAGACCCACGAAAGTATCTAGTTGCTGTGATTTTTCCGAAGAAGACTTTTGTGTGGAATCACCACTATGCTGAGGGGCTTGCCAGAGAGTCATGCTCATTCCTTCATTCATTTTGTTAGGTTTGACCACTCAGGCCATGAACAGCCTGGCTATGTAATTCCAAGAGACACTGATAATCATGCTCTTTTTTTTTTTTTCCACCAAACGTTACTAATTCGGCTCATATCGCTGATGAAAAAGCTCCAGTTTGGAGCTGAATGTATATTGAATGCCTTGGATGGTCAGTGTTCCAGAATTAGCACATCAGTCATCTGCCCAGACTTTTTCTCTAGAGATTGTCTCTGTCTTCAGATAAAGATTTTGGAGTCCAGTCCAGGGTTATCAGTCCACTTCTGGAAGGTTTTGAAGCACATCAGGCTAGGAACTCCTGCTGTGGGACTGAGGGCAAAGTGCCAGGATTCCTTGCTACATTCTATTTGTATATTTGGTGACATTTCTACATCGCTTAATATATTTCAATTACATTAACATTTTTTGATGCCTACTCTTAAAGTAAATATTCTAGATGAAAGAGAAGATGAATAAGTCAGGATTCTTATCTCTGGGAAGCTCACAGTACTGTATAGGAAACAAATTTGATATATATGATGTATAGAGCTTTAATACAAGGTAGAATGTGGTACATGTTAGATTAGATTAAAAGTGTTGGCCGAGCGTGGTGGCTCACACTTGTAATCCCAGCACTTTGGGATGCCAAGGCAGGCCGATCACCTGAGCTCAGGAGTTGGAGATCAGCTTGGCCAACATGGTGAAACCCCATCTCTACTAAAAATACAAAAATCAGCTGGGCGTGGTAGTAGGCACCTTTAATCCCAGCTACTCAGGAGGCTGAGGCAGGAGAATCACTTGAACCCGAAGGCAGAGGTTGCAGTGAGCCGAGATTGCGCCATTGTACTCCAACCTGGGTGACAGAGTGGGACTCTGTCTAAAAAAAAAAAGAAAGAAAGAAAGAAAGAAGGAAAGAAGGAGAGAAAGAGAGAAGGAGAGAAAGAGAGAAGGAGAGAAAGAAAAGAAAAGAAAGCGCTCTGGGAATATAGAGGTTGCAAAAATAGCTTGTGGCTGGAAGGATCTAAAAAGACTTAGGGAAAGAATCAGCATTAGCACACAGTGAATAGCCTATAGACTGCACCCGTGTCCTACTGATTCCCAAATTGGCCAGGTTCTTTCAAGCCTTCTTCATGTACTACTACCTTATTT